CTCTGGAAGGGAGAGGGAGGGGAAACAGGAGAACAAAGGAGGGGGGGGGGCAACTAAGCTGTAGTGCCTCTTCACTGTGCAATACTTTTTGTTAATATCCAATGTGCAATAGACTCACATACTTGAAATGTGCAATTCCCTTGTATTCCTATTTATTCTATTTATCCCTTTTGTATACTCTGTATTTATATATGTCTCTGTAGTTATATATGTGTATATATGGTATATTTCTGCTCACATTTCTTCTCAACTTCTGTCAGTGTAGTGAAAACCGAATTTCCTGGAGGAACCTACCCGAGGGATTAATAAAATTTCAACTAATTGAATCGAATCGAATCGAATCGAATCGAATCCATATTATACATTTTTGATCTACACACATGTTGCAGCCAAAGACATCGCATGCTCGTATGTCATTGTCATGAGACACTCTCACAAACAAAATCACGGTTTAGTAACTCAGTAAAGCAGCGAGCTCACGAGAAAGTAATAGTAATCTAATTACTTTTTGCAATAGTAATCCCTTACTTTACTCAGCAATTAGTAATTAAAGAGTATTACTGCTCATCTCTGGATAGTACCTGGTACCACTTACTTTTTTAGCGCCTACTTCAGTGAACTGAGTTGGTTGTAATGGATCAATTGTAATGAAAAACAACTGAAACTGACTAGAGTAGAGTTGTCTTGAGTTGAGCCAACCCAAGTAGGTAATGTGGAAAAGAGGCTATAGATGTCATTTATGTGCAAAGGGAACAACCATTTTGGAAACAAGAATCTGGCCTAAGGGTCCATCTTTTACAAGCTTACAATACTTTAATTGCGTCTATCCCCCAACTCTCTGAACTGTAATCATGGCCTTTAATCAATGGTCAAGACAGTTTACATATTAATGATCATGAAGCTGAGTCTATGGCTCATTGTTAGGAAATGATGCTAGTTTTTGTTTCAGCTGGCCGAAGAAGGCACTTTGATTGGTGATGAAATGTTTCTCCCACACCTCTGGAAGCGCTGCTTCCCGATGAACAGTATTAACTTTCTGTGATGACCTCTTGGCCTATTTGAGTAAATGGAACTCAAAGTCAAAATGCAAACAAGTTGTTAGATTAATCAGCTGAACTAAATATATTGGATATCTGTGAACAGTCCATATGTGAGGTTTAACTGTAGCTCCTGTTGTAATCGTGGGAAAATCAGCACATGAACAGATAGCACTGTGTTGCCCAACCAAGAACTGATTGTTGGAGAGTGTAAGTAAATCTGTCAAAACCACATGCTCGTAATATTCCAGGAGGTGATCTGGAGTGCAAATAACTGCATTGGAAGTAAGAGTGTTTTATGTTGTATGAGCCTATTAGTAGGGAAACAGTGTCTCGCCTACCAATAATTAAAAACATGCAACTTTCTGCCTGACATGCAGTGAAATGTTCTTGTTTCCAAGGAATCAGACAGTAGCTAAAAATATTTTCTGGATGTGATTCTTGATTTCATACAGTATTAGGCAAGAAATCAAATGCACAGCAGGGTTTAAAACCAGAAACAGGAAGTGTTTGTTTTGAATACTTTGAGGTAAAA